GGTTTAGGGATGTCTCACTTGTAGACTTACTAGCTCTATCCATTCTATACATTCTAATATTTTCTCGTAATTTCGTACGTGTTTGTTTTTTAGTTCTGCTGCTACAGGTTGAGCTTAATATGAATAACTATATTAATATTTAAACAATATAAAAAATTGACAAACAACATATGATAAAGTAAGAGATTTACCTTTATTAGTTGCTCCCAAACATCCTCTTTTATTTCAAATCGTTCAGTTGTTGGATTCCAGGAAAAACCACTCATTCCATGTTTGAAAACATCATAATATTTTGAGAATTGCCTTTTCAAATTTTTTATGAGGTCGTGTATACACTCTTTATCAATGTCTAGATCTGGAAATGTATTCCTCAATTCTTTAAGTACACAATCAATGGCATGTGATGTGAATGTCCCACCCGATCTACGACCACACAAATGTTGATCGTAAAACGAGTTTACTAGGATGTCATCCATATGATCTGACTAGTGGATCATTTTACTTCCTGCATCTGCATGCTTGTTTCTCTTAGCCATTTTCTAAAACACATATGAAAACACCAAATATAATCATAAACAAAAAAATATAAATTGATTACAATAAAATAATTTCTAAATTATAGCATTCAATTAAAATATTTAAGTTACACAAATATCATAGGTCATGCAACTTTCCTACACCATACAAACATCATAAACTGTACAAATGTCATAAATTACACAAAATATAAACAACTCACATATCAGCTGCTATTGCATCTCTAATTGCTTTGCCTTTTCTCATTTCCTCAGTACTGTCCCTAAAGTTATATATACTTCGTTCGTCTAGAGAAATATTTCAGAGTTCTTCATCAACCTCTTAAAGTTCATCAGTTTGATCCTTTCCCCATAAATAATTATACAAAATGCAACAAGCAAAAAGAATTTAAACTACATTCTTCTTGTTCCATTTGGAATTATCTACAGGCTCCTTTTCTTATACATTTTTTATATAATATCCAAAGAGAGGTTAAAATAGTTGTTAGATCTCCAAATGAGTTCAACAGTAATTCTTGATTTTTTCCCAAACATAGGCTAGACCTTACTCGATCATAACGGATATGAATCACAAGGTTTGGATATCCAACACATGCATGCAGGTTAGGCTCCATCCAAAAAGCTTTATTAAACAATACCCATCATTTGAGAAGATATACAGACAGATACAAAACAATCACTTTGAATTCTTTTGTTTCAGGAAATACCCAAATAGAAAATCTTCTGTCAACCCTATATATCTCATGGAAAAGACAATTCTGGAGGCCCACATGCAAATATAGAAATGCACTTATGGCGAGTAGCCTATAGATTTATCACTTAATTAGGAGATGAAGGTAGCTTTACATGCTTTTTCATGGCTAAGAAATCCAGGCACAGATGGTCTATCACAAAATCATATCAAACTTATTAATGTTTAGAATAAACAAAATAAACAAAATAAATAATTTTGATTTGTTTTGTCTTTCTTCATTTTTGTTCAAACCCTTGTATAGATTTACAAAGTTAAAAGAGAGCAAGCCAAGAATCAGCCCCAATCTCTAAAAATTTTCAGCATATGAAAAAAAAAAAGAATAAAGTAGGAGAAAAAAAACGAGTCAAACAAAAAGCATATGAACTTGCAAAAATAGCACCGGGTAAAAACTCCTCTTCCACCAAAGATTCAAACTTTGAAAAAAGAAAAGAAAAAATTAACAGAGGGAATTTACCATAACCAAGAAAAAACATTGTTCAGAGAAGTTGGAAGGTGAAGAACGAAAGAAATACTTGCAAGTCAAAGAAAAAACGAAAGCAATTGATGCTGAAAAATTAAAAAAAAATACAAAAATACTTACTGATCGAGAAATAAAGAACGCAATCAGAAGTAAATCAAGAACCCAACGTTTAGAAGCATTCAAAGAAGAGACAAGTAGATTTTGATCGGAGAAGAAAAGATGGAGCTGTTCGGTCCTCCCTGTGTGCGGCTTGAATGAGGAAAAAAGAAAAAATAGGATTTTAATTTGTGATGATAAAAATAGAATTAATTATATTTTATGGGAGTATAATGGTAAAAAAATTAACATGCTGGTTACATACTACCAATTCGGTGGTTTAAAATTCATCTCAAATTTTTCAGTCAAATGCCATTTATTACAATTAGAAATTAAAACAAATACAATTTTCTCACAACTATAAAATAACATACATTAAAATCATATCATTCACCGTGATCCGCAGAGGGTGTTAGTATGAGGAGCTTTCTTTTCCCGCCAACGTAATCTTGTGTTACTTCTGTACAGGCAGTGCGGATGACCAAATTCATTCATGTCTCCAGAGGGACACTTAGATTCAACAATCCTCTTTATTTAGTTTTCTAAATCCACTTACTCTTAATTTCTAATGAACAACCCATATCACCCTTCTGTCGCTTCTCGCTCAGATCTCTACGCTTGTCTCCTCCAAAAATGTCTTAAATCAAATGATTCATTTTCTGGGCAATCAATTCATGCTCGAATTGTCAAATCTGGGCTCAATTTCAGCGTCTTCTTGATGAATAATCTCATTAATTTATACTCAAAAACTGGCTTTATCTTTTATGCACACCAAGTTTTCGAAGAAATGCCTGTAAAGACTTCATTCTCATGGAACACGATTCTCTCAGCGTATGCGAAACATGGTAAGATAGAAGTAGCCGAAGAGATTTTCAAAAAAATACCCAACCGTGATTCTGTTTCCTGGACTACTATGATTGTAGGGCATAATCAGATGGGTGGTTTCAGGAACGCGATTAGGATGTTCACAGAAATGATTAAGGATAGAATTACACCGACCCAGTTCACTATTACAAGCGTACTTGCATCATCTGCTGCAATGGGATATTTGGGTATTGGTAGAAAGGTTCATTCTTTTGTTATTAAGCTCGGACTAAGTAGCTACGTCTCGGTTGCAAATTCCTTACTAAATATGTATACAAAGTCTGGTGATCCTCTGATGGCAAAAGTTGTTTTTGATAGGATGAGTGTGAGGGATAGGTCAAGTTGGAATGCTATGATCTCATGGCATATGCAGGTAGGTGAGATTGATCTCGCTCGTTTGCAATTTGAGCAAATGGCTGAGCGAGATATAGTTACATGGAATTCAATGATTGCAGGGTATAATCAGCATGGATATGATTTTTATGCCTTGGACTTGTTTTCAAAAATGCTGATGCATTCTTCTTTGCTACCGGATAGATTCACAGTGGCAAGTGTGCTATCAGCTTGTGCTAATCTTGAGAAGTTAGAGCTTGGGAAACAGATCCATGCTTATATTATTAGAGCCGAGTTGGATATCTCTGGGGTGGTGAGAAATGCTATGGTCTCTATGTACGCAAAGTCTGGTGGGGTTGAAACAGCACGAAAAATTGTTGAACAATGTCGGATGTCACAAATAAATGTTATAGCTTTTACAGCCTTACTAGATGGGTACATCAAGCTTGGGGATATAACCCCTGCCAGACTGATATTTGACTCACTGAGAGATTGTGATGTGGTTGCATGGACAGCAATGATCGTGGGTTATGAGCAAAATGGCCTGTATAATGAAGCTTTGAATCTCTTTAGATCAATGATTAGACAAGGCTCCAAACCAAATAGCTACACTCTAGCAGCCATTTTAAGTGTCAGTTCAAGTTTGGCTAATTTAAATCACGGGAAAGAAATTCATGCAAGTGCAATAAGATCAGGAGAAGTGTTATCTGTTTCTGTGAGCAATGCTCTAATTACCATGTATGCGAAAGCAGGAAGCATTAATGGTGCACAACGAGTGTTTGACTTGATATGTTGGAGTAGAGATACTGTCTCTTGGACGTCCATGATTACAGCTTTGGCACAACATGGTCTTGGAGAAGAAGCTGTAGAGCTATTTGAGAAGATGTTGGCTTTAGGGATAAAGCCTGACCACATCACTTATGTTGGCGTGCTCTCTGCCTGCATTCATGTAGGATTGGTTGAATGGGGCCATTGCTACTTTAACATGATGAAAGACGTACACAAGATGGAACCCACACCAAGTCATTATGCTTGTATGATTGACCTGTTAGGCCGTGCTGGATTGATTCAAAAAGCGCATGAGTTTATAGAAGACATGCCAATTGAGCCAGATATGGTAGCTTGGGGTTCACTTTTAGCATCTTGCAAGGTTCACAAGAATGTGGAGCTGGGTAAAGTTGCAGCGGAAAAGTTGCTTCTCATTGACCCTGACAACAGTGGTGCCTACTCTGCTCTTGCTAATTTATATTCATCCTGTGAGAGATGGGAGGATGCTGCTAAAATTAGAAAGAAAATGAAAGATGTCGGAATCAAGAAGGAACAGGGATTTAGTTGGCTTCAGGTCAAGGACCAAGTGCATATCTTTGGTGCTGAAGATGGGCTTCATCCACAGAAAGATGAAATCTACAAGATGATGGCAAAGATCTGGAAAGAGATAAAGAAGATGGGGTTTATTCCAGACACTGAATCAGTACTACATGACCTTGAAGAAGAGGTTAAGGAACAGATTCTTAGACATCACAGTGAGAAACTTGCCATTGCATTTGGCCTGATTAGTACTCCCGAGAATGCTACTTTGAGAGTCATGAAGAACCTCAGAGTCTGTAATGACTGTCACTCTGCCATTAAATTCATTTCCAAGCTTGCGGGTAGAGAAATAATTGTAAGAGATGCCACCCGCTTTCACCATTTTAAGGATGGCTTATGTTCTTGTAGGGACTATTGGTAGGCATGGAGTGAAAATATAGAGACAACTTTCAACAGAGTATACAAAACGAGTTTCACCTGCATTATTATCTAGTAGTTGATCCTTGACAGAAGCAGAATATGCTCCCATGATTCTGTGGCTAACCTGCTGAGTTTGCACCATAATGATTTCAACCTTTACAGCCTTCAATTCGAATTGTAATTTATGGCTATCTATGAAGGACTTTGGACACACACCTGTTAATATTTCTGTGTATCTTTCCGCGGCTTTAATTTGGTGATTGCAGAGCAATTTTCTGCTACACCGAATAGTTTCAACAGAAGTGCAAGTGCTGGCTGCGTGGTAGAGGATTGTACTGTTTATGCTTTGGAGTCTCTGTAACAGCTTCGGAAATTCAAAGGAAACGTATATATAAAAATTTTAAGTGCGGAAGCGAAATAAAATATTATGATTAACATCCCTTAAACAATAATAAAAACATATTAAACGTATGAAAAAATAAACTAACTAAAGTAAATATTAGAAATGAATATTATAAGGAAAACTATAAAATCTTTAGGCATCTACTCGCCGTCTTCCTGCGGAACGGGCTCGCGAACCAAGTCCTCCTGATCTGAAATGGTTAAGTAAAGAATGAGTTACACTAGTACAGTAAAAATGTCACACTATCTCACTGTCACAGAAGTAAAGGTTGGTAGAAAAACAAAACGACCAATGGAGTATAATTTATAACAAATTCATTTATAAATAATAAAACTCTTAACTGTCCACTTACCTCGGTGAGATTCATGAAAACAACTTATGAAAACAATAACATTATAATATCATGAAATCATACGCACTCTGTAACATAACACATGTCATACTTTTAATATTTCAATAATCAGATAACAAATTTCCTCTTTTACCAGTCTACCAGTATTCATGGGGATCCATAGGGGTTCCCACCACACGTGAACTATTCATGTTAACAACTTAATTGCAGGGCCGTCCCCATACCCCGTCCGGTATGGGCGCCAAAACAATAAACCTCAATACCCTGTCCGGTATCAGGGTGAAGCGGGCCGTCCTCATACTCCGTCCGGTATGAGCGCCAAAACATTTAAAGTCTCCATACCCCGTCCGGTATGAGAGACAACGTTGCCGGTAGGGTCCCCTATGAACCTAGTTCGTCTACCATCTCCCAGGATGTCTAGTGAGGCTGTTAACCTATCGATTTATCAACTCAATCCCATTCTTATTTGTTCATGGTCTCAATTACCCAATCAAATATGAATACGTAAACCAGTAACGAACACCAAATAAGGCAAACATAACATCGGGTTCACAATAATCAAACAATAATAAATTAAACAGTGAATCATGCATACAAAACCACAGAATAAACAAATAAGATACTACACTGCATTTAGACTGTAAAATAAATCAAGAGGAACTGACCGAAAAATATATCAGATTCGGGCTCCATTAGCAATCTTAATTAATTATACATATCCATGAATTCATAAAATACTGTTTTATCATTTATTAGACTTTAATACCGTGATAGGTAGTAGGGTAAGAGATTCTTTCTTGATTCGAAGTCTAAAATCGGTTTTTCACTGTGCCTACGGGCAGTCCCTAGATTTCTTGAATTTTTTTCCGAGAACTGAAACATACTTTCGGTATTTGCACATGTCCCCAAAAAACTCCAAATTAGACCCAGGGCATCCTCGGCCAATTTTAGAATTTCGGCACTGCGGTTCCGCCGTGCTCCAGTGACGGGTGGTGGCGATCCACCTCGGGTTGGCTTTTTTCGGCCATTTTCGGCCGAATTCAGCCAAACTAGCACTAGTTCCTGCGAGAAAACACACGTAAGGCCCTCGGTGGGCTAAAAAAACTCAAAAAACTAAGACTTACTGGCGGCGGAGTTCTCAGGTGCGGCAGCTCCTCTGGCGCGAGTCGCAATTTGGTGTTTTGCTTCGGTCAACCTGTAGAGGAAAGGATGATGGTCACAGTGATATAAAAATTACATCGAACGGGAATCGGGAAGGGCCTCATCGGAGGCAAAAACTAAGAAAACCTGCAACGGCGCCGCTGGGCTTCGGCGGTGTTTTTCGGCCAATTGACTGGTGGTTTAGCTCCGATTTGGCCATAGGGGGGTTCAGCATTGAAATCCGAGCCAAGAAAATTTTTTTACCTCGTTTGGCGGCTTGAAAGTGCTCCGGTGCGGCGACGGGTGGCAGCGGTCGGTTCCTTCAGTGGCTGGGCTGTCTTCTCCGGCGAGGGCTCTGGCAGGTAGGGTTTGGGGTTGGGTGTGGATGAGATTATTTATAACCTTCCTCTTTTAATCTGAGCCGTCCATCAGGATTTAATCTGGGCCCTCCGATCGCGATTAAATTGAAAATGAATCTGGACCGTCCATCACAATGCCATCTGGGTAGTCCGTGCGTGATTCAATCTGGGTCATTCGCACGCGTGCAATCTAGGCCGTCCGCGCGCGCATTTGATCTAGATTGTCAGTGCGCGCGAGAACGGATCTCAGCCGTCCGATCGAGTGCACGCGGATCGCCCGCATGGTCCGTTCCGTGTGCCCTTCCCGCGTCAGCGTCTCTGCCACGCAGCGTGTCCTGGTTGACCAGAGCTGCTGACCAGGCTGCTGACGTGGCGCACGTTTTGACCTCCGATTTTCGATTTTTTTTTCAAAAACACCCCCAGAATCTGAATTTTCACCTATTTTTTCTAAAATTGTTTTCAATTAAACTCCAAAAATAATTTTACCCATTTTTATCATTATTATTATTTTTATTTCTATTAAATTAAATTAAACTAAATTAAAACAATTATATTACTACTTAAATAAATCAATTAAAATAAAATTAAAATAAAATAAAAATATAGTAATTTCAATAATAATAATAAAAATAAAATTAGGGTGTTACAACTCTTCCCCCTTAAAGAAATTTGATCCTCCAAATTTGCCTCTTACTCCTGGTCGAACAAATGGGGATACTGGGCTCTAAAGTCTGATTCTATCTCCTAGGTAGCCTCCCTTGACGTGTGGTTCTGCCACACGACCTTTACAAATGATATCTCCCAGTTGCGGAGTATTCTGCTCTTTCGTTCCGTAATCCCGACTGATACTTCCTCATAAAACAAGTCCTCTTGGAGTGGAAACAGTTCATGAGCCAAGACATGAGAGGGGTCCGGGTTGTACTTACGTAACATGGACACATGGAATACATTGTGGACCTTGGAGAGCTCTGGAGGCAGTGCTAGTCTGTAGGCGGCAGTACCAATCATGTCCAAGACTTCAAATGGTCCAATAAATCGGAGGTTCAGTTTTTTCCTCTTGCCGAATCTACTAATTTCCTTGAAAGGAGTGACTTTAAGGAACACCTGGTCGCCTTTCTAAAATGCTAAATCTCTCCTCCGGGTGTCTGCATAACTCTTCTGCCTGCTCTGAGCCATCTGAATGTTCTTTCTGATTTTAACTATTTTAGACGTGATCTCCTCCACCAACTTCGGGCCGAAAAATTTTCTGTCATCCACTTCTTCCCAACAAATCGGCGATCTGCATGGGCGCCCATATAACGCCTCATACGGAGCCATGCCAATGCTCGCTTGGTAGCTGTTGTTGTAGGAAAATTCTATCAGGGGTAGATGGTCATCCCAATGGCCATCAGAGTCCAAGACACAAGCTCGGAGCATATCCTCAAGTGTACGGATCGTCTTTTCTGACTGTCCATCAGTCTGAGGATGGAAGGCAGTACTGAGAGACAACTTTGTTCCCATGGCCTGCTGAAAGCTACTCCAAAACTGAGAAGTGAATCTGGGGTCCTTGTCGGATACCACTGTTACTGGAACTCCATGCAATCTGACTATTTTTCGGATATACATTCTTGCCAACTTATCCAAGGAATCGGTCATCCTGATGGCTAGGAAGTGGGAAGACTTGGTAAACCGGTCAACAATTACCCAAATGGCGTCATGTCCTGAACATGCCTTGGGTAATCCCGTTACAAAGTCCATGGTGATATGTTTTTACTTCCACTTCGGGATCGGTAAAGGCTGAAGTAACCCGTCTGGGCGTTGATGCTCTGCCAAGACCTGCTGGCATACCAAGCATTTAGATACAAAGTCAGCTATGTCCCTCTTCATCCCATTCCACCAAAACCGGGGTCACATTCTTTGGTACATTTTGGTGCTTTCGGGATGCATGGCAAATTTCGAGCTATGGGACTCTGTCATGATGTCTCTCTTTAACTCATTGTCGTCTGGGACACACACCTTGTCCTGGAACCAGAGTAACCCATCAGCAGAGACTTGGAATTCTGAGCCCACTCCCTGTTCTGCATTATTCTTGCGGGCTACTAGGGCGGGGTTAACTGATTGGGTTTCTCTTATTCTCTGTATTAACTCAGGCTGGACGGTCAGACAGCCTAAACATGCGACTCTCTTCAGGTCCTAAAGCAGAACTTTTTGTGTGGCCCCAATTTGCCTGCGTTCTGAAACCATCAAATGGGCTAAGATACCTGTACTTTTCCTGTTGAGAGCATCTGCCACTATGTTGCCCTTACCCAGATGATACAAGATATCACAATCATAGTCTTTAAGGAGTTCCATCCACCTTCTCTAATGCATGTTGAGATCCTTTTGAGTGAATATGTATTTCAAACTCTTATGATCAGTATAGATCTGAAAGGTCTCTTCGTATAAATAATGGCGCCAGGTTTTCAAGGCGTATATGATTGCGGCAAGTTCCAAGTCATGGATGGGATAATTCTTGTCATGATTCTTTAACTGTCTGGACCCATAGGCTATGACCTTCCCAAGCTGCATCAGGACACAACCAAGGCCTAGATAGGAGGCATCACTATAAACTGTATATCCCCCCGATCCACTAAGTAAAGCCAGTATGAGTGCAGTGGTCAGTCGCTCTTTAATTCTGAAAAATTTCTTTCACAGTCCTCATCCCACTCAAACTTGGCATTCTTCTTTGTGAGTCGGGTTAGGGGAGCCGCTAGACTAGAGAATCCTTCGACGAACATGCGGTAATAACCTGTCATTCCCAGGAAGCTACAGATTTTCTTAACTGATGTCAACTTCTCCCAACTAAGTACCGCTTCAACTTTTTTGAGATTCATTGATACTCCTTCCTTCGATATGATGTGTCTTAGGAAGGCGGCCTGCTCAAGCCAGAATCCACACTTACTCAACTTTGAATATAGCTTCTTTTTTCTAAGGACCTGCAAAACTCGAGCTAGATGCTGAGCATGCTCTTCTCTGCTTTTTGAGTAGACCAAGATGTCATCGATGAACACAATAACAAATTGATCCAAGAATTCT